AAAGAGTTGATGGAGGGAGAGATGGGGAAGAAGGTGCGGAAGAAGGTGAAGGAGGTCGGTGGCGCCGCTACAAAAGCAGTTGCAGAAGGCGGGTCCTCCTGGAAGGCGGTGTATGAGCTCTTAAATGAGTTGCATGAAGAAACGGCTTAAATGAAGAACTATGCTTGGTTTTATTTACCATGAAGTTTTTAATTTTGAGTAATGCTGTAATTTTTATTTAGTTATTTTTAGAATGATATTTTCATAGTTAATATAATTAGCTTCATTAACTCATCAGACATAATTATTTCATTTTTTAACTTAACTAAAAATTTAAAATACAATAAATTAAAAAAAATACTTAATAGTAGGATTTCAAGATGCTTTCAATTTGTGAAATTTTAGATCTCTAAAACACTATCAGCCTCTACTATTTATTGAACATGACACTGGCATTTTTAAAAATGGTTACAATAACTAATGGCTATTGAAAATGTATAAAACTCAATGTTTCGAAAACCGACCCGGTCATCGACCCGAAAAAGGTGAAGGGTCAAATGGTTCAACCGGGGTCAAACCGGATGTAATAAATACATACAAAAATAATAAAATACTATGAAAACAATATTTTTTTTTTAATTTTCATATTAATAATTCAAAGTAAACCTATCTTTATTAATTAGATTCATTATCCTACAATTAGTCTCAATACTTCAAAAATTAAAAAGCAATATGTTAAAATAATTTACTTTGTTAACTTAAAATAGTTTAAACTTATAGAAAATGATATCAACATTAATATATTAATAATCAAGTGCGATTTGAGTTAAATTTGAAAATTAAATAAATGAAATGATGAAGGTGAATATTACAATTTAATTAGTTGGGATTCAAAATCAAATTAGTCAATAAATCAAGCAGATCAAAACTGGGTTGGAAAATTCCGGCGTCAATTTTTTGTGGGTTGTTCGGAGTAAGCAAGCTGAAGATGATGACGGTTTTGAATATCAGGTAAGAGACAGAGGAATGTTGGTGAAAGAATGGGTTGATCAGAGGGAAATTCTTGAACACTCTAGTGTTCAAGGGTTTTTAAGCCACTGCGGATGGAACTCAGTACTGGAGAGTATATGTGCAAATGTACCAATTCTGGCATGGCCGATGATGGCGGAGCAACCGCTGAATGCAAAGATGGTGGTGGAGGAGATTGGAATTGGACTGAGGGTTGAGACTTCTGATGGTTTTGTAAGTTGGGAGCATTTGAAGAAAATGGTGAAAGAGTTGATGGAGGGAGAGATGGGGAAGAAGGTGCGGAAGAAGGTGAAGGAGGTCGGTGGCGCCGCTGCAAAAGCAGTTGCAGAAGGCGGGTCCTCCTGGAAGGCGTTAAATGAGCTCATAAATGAGTTGCATGAAGAAACGGTTTAAGTGAAGAACTATGCTTGGTTTTATTTACCATGAAGTTTTTAATTTTGAGTAATGCTGTAATTTTTATTTAGTTATTTTTAGAATAATATTTTTCATAGTTAATTATAATTAGCTTCATTAACTCATCGTTTGTAAAAGACATAATTATTTCATTTTTTAACTTAACTAAAAATTTAAAATACAATAACTAAAAAAATACTTAATAGAAGGATTTCAAGATGCTTTCAATTTTGTGAAATTTTAGATCTCTAAAATGCTATCAGGCTCTACTATTTATTGAACATGACACTGGCAATTTAAAAAATGGTTACAATAACTAATGGCTATTGAAAATGTATAAAACTAAGCCCCTCTTTGACCACCATTTTTTCTGTCTTTTTTTTTTTAAATACTTATTTTCAATCACACATTCACACAATAAAATATTTTATACTTAAGTCCAAAATTTTTCCTATTTTTTAACCATTCATTCTCTTAAAAATCATTATTCAAAACACCATTTTCTACAAAAAAAAAAAAAAATAATAATTATCAAACAGTGGCTAATTTATTGTCATCTACTAAATTATTGGTGCGATGTTAGCAGCATGAGAATCGTTGATGGTAAAAATTTCCTCTTGTATAATCAGGATTTTCTCCGCTTAAACTTTTTTATTTTGATATTTAAATTGGAGTAAAAGGAGAAATGACTATTTGGGAGGGATTCGTTGATCCTAATTCTTAGTGTCAACAAATTATTGCCGTTTGTGGGAATTTGAACAAAGAAAACCATGAATCAATCTATTGAAATTGAGAAACCTTCGAAATCTGCAAAAATGAGTAAGTGGAATTGAATCTCGAATACGTAAGGGTGCTAGAGATTGGAAGTAAGAATGTCAGCTTTGATCCAATTAATACGAGACAAGTTAAAAGCCGCGGTAGGAGAATACTAAAGTAAAGTTATAAGAGGATCTGTCCCCTGCTAAACGTCGACGTCTGTGAAAGGAGTTGGCAGCAAAGACCATACACAAAATGGATGAAGAACTCAAGTCATTGATGGCGGAACACGATGCTCTAATCCTAAAAATAAAGATCCTCATAGGCAAGTCTAGTGAGCGAGATACAGTTTCATAAACCTTTGAGAAGATAGGTAATCAACGATCTCTAACCTCTTAAATTAAATCTATAGAACGTAAAAGTGAAAATTCGGGACATGAAAATGATGTAATAGTCATCCAGATAATAATAGCTAGAGAATGCTTTCATCATATGAAGAAACTTTTAATTGAATGCGGAAATATAATCCATGTATTCCTATGCTAGAGCCTCAATACTTCACTAGAGCCAGCCCAGTCCTTCAAGGACATGCCACTCTGTTAGTTAAAGTAGGAGATGAGCCTTAGGCATGAAATAGGTAAACACAATTATATCTCTCCATCAATCTAATATCAGGTTTTACACAAATAAAGGCGAGTTTCCTTAAAATATAATCAAGGAATTCTATGTAGGGATGATGAAAGTAACATAAGAGAAAGAGCCTTAAAAGCTCAAAAGAAAAATATAGTTGTTGCGGTCGAAATGAATAATCTTGGAAGAAACTTGAAATCAATGACATAATCGATCCCACATAACTGGTTGCATGTCAAAGAAGCTCAGGTTGAAGAACTAAAAAGTATGTCTGTTAGTTCCGAATATGCAAGTAAGGCTCAGAAAATTGGTAAAGAGTTGAATGAACCTATGAAAGGTTTACTGAAAAGTTTTATGATGACAAACCTAGATATGTTCGTCTAGAAACATGATAACATGGTGGGAATAGATCCCAAGATGGTGTATCATGCATTGAAAATTAATCCCATGATAAAATCTAAAATGCAAAGGATGTGGCCAATGAGTGTTGAGAAGTACGAAAAATTAAAAAATTAAGCAGATAGATTGCTAGAAAATGGCCTTATCCGTAGGCTCAATACCTAGTTTGAGTATGTAATTTGGTCTTAGTACCAAAAGTAATGAAAAATAGTGAACACATTAAGATTTCATGGACTTAAATAAGACATGTCCCAAAAATAACTTTTCGCTCCCCAGAACTGATCAACTAGTAGATACAACCGCAAGACAAGAACTGCTAAGTTTTATGGATGCATATTCAGAATATAATCAGATTCCCATATATGGATCGAATGAAGAACACACTACCTTCGTAACAGATCAAGGACTGTACTGTTATAAGGTAATGCCATTTGGCTATAGAATGCAAGTGCTGCTTATCAAATACTAGTAAACAATTTTGTTGCGAATTAGTTAGGACAAATGATGAAAATATACATTGATGATATGTTCATCAAAATCCTATGAACTAAGAACCACTTAAAACATTTAGAAGAAGCAATTGACATATTACAAAAATATAGAATGAAATCAATCCGCTGAAGTGTGCTTTTGAAGTTAAATCTGAAAAATTCCTAAGATACATGGTCAATCAACAAGGTATCAAAGCAAACCTCGACAAAATTCAAGCTCTTATTAAAATGAGGTCTCCAACAAGGCCAAAGGAAGTACGAAGCTTAACTAAAGATTTGTCCTTTGAGTAGATTTGTATTACGATTATTTGAGTAGATTTGTATCACGAGTAACAGACAAATGCTCCACTTTTTTTCAATTGTTGAAAAGAAGAATGAAGTTCGAATGGGGTAGCGAATGCAAGCAGACGTTCCAAACTTTTAAAGAACACATAGGAAAAAATCACTATCAGCCAAACCCAATATCAGGAAAAAGTTATTACCATATTTAGCAGTCTGTAAAGTGGTAGTTAGTGTTATCGAAGTGAAAGAAGAAGGAAAGCAGCATGCATCGATTTGCTAAGTAAAACTTTGTAAAGAGCACAAGAAAAATATCTAGATATTGAATTGCTTTAGTTGTGGCATCACAAAAATTGGGACCATACTTCCAAAATCATAGTATTGAAGTACTAACTAATTTTTCACTAAAGTAAGCATTGCACATGTCTGATACGTCGGGAAGATTAATGAAATGTACAGTAGAATTATGAAAATTTGAGATAAGTTTATACGGGGTGATCGCAATCAAAGAACATGCATTGGCGAATTTTATTGCAGAAGTGACAGATGTTCCTACTCTTGAGGAAGAGCCTGTAGAGCATGGAAATTATTTGTAGCAGGATCGTCAATGGACATTGTCTTTGAAGCAACATAATCCTAACAAACTCAGAAGGGCACAAATTGAATTGCGCATTAAGGTTCGTTTTAAAGCAACCAATAATATTGTGAATAGTAAGCTTTATTGGATGGCCTATAACAATGTAGGATACAGGATAAATTCTCGTGGATGCAAGAAATCATATTTTATCTAAGAAATGATATGCTCCATAAAGATAAAATGTAGCACAAAAATTGAGGATAAAAGCCTCAAAATATACACTAGAAGATGATATCTTATTTAAGTGAATGTACACATTTTCTCTACTTAGATGTATAAAGAGAGTAAGGCAATGTATATAATGAAAGAAATACATGATGGTATATGCGAAAATCATGCTCGCGACACTCCCTATTGCAAAAGGTCTTGAAACAAGAATATTATTGGTCAAATATAAGAAAGGATGCAATGAGTTCAACTAAAAAGTGTGAAAAATGCCAGAAGGTTACATCCATACTATGACAACCTATACAAGAGCTGGTGACTAGTAGTTGTCCCTGGGCATTCGCAAAATGAGGCATTGATTTCGTTGGACCGTTGCTAGAGGAATGCTAAATATGAGATTAATAATCGTAGTAGTAGATTATTTCACCAAGTAGATAGAAGCGAAACCCTTCGCAAATTCACTGAGGCTAATACTTGCAAATTTATATGGAAAAACATAATTTTTTGGTTGGGAGTACTGAATTCTATAATCTAAGATAATGGAACAAAATTCCAAGGGAAAAATTGAAACAATGTGCAACGAATTGAGGATCCAAAGACACTTTTTCAATCCATATTACCTCCAACCTAATGGACAAGTAGAGATAATTAATAAGATATTAAAAAGCATCTTGAAAAGAAAGTTGGATATAGCGAAGGGGTTATGGGTAAATGAACTACCACAAATTCTACGGTCTTATCGCAC